CAGAGATCCACAGCTAAGCATGGGGCTGAACTCCTGGAGTCCAGTTGCAGAGAGGGAGGAGTGATGAGTATAGGTGTCAAGACCATGCTGGAGAAACCCACAGAAACAGCTGACCTGGGCATCTGGGAGATCACTGACTCCAAATTGACATTTGGGGAACCCGCAAAAGACCAAACTAGGCCCCCTAAACATGAGTGTCAATTGGGGGCTTGGGCGGTCTATGGGGCCACTGGTAGAGGATCCAGTATTTATCCCTGTGCATGAACTGGCTATTTGGAGACCATTCTCTATGGAGGGATACCTTGCTCAGCCTAGATACAGCGGGGAGAACCTCAGTCCTGCTTCCGACAATGTGACAGACTTTGATGATTCCCCCATGGGAGGACTCACCCTCCCTGAGAAGTGGATGGGGGGGAGTGGGATGGGGAGCTGGTGGAGGGAGTGGGAAGATGGGAGGGAGAGGGAATTGGTATTGGTATGTAATAGAACATTGTTTTAAAAATAAAAATTAAAGTGATGGGTGGTGGTGGCACATGCCTTTAATAATCACAGCACTCAGAGGTAGTGGATCTCTGTGAGTTCTAGGCCAGTCTGATCTACAAAGCTACACAGAGAAACCCTGTCTGGAAAACCCAAAAATAAATAAATAAATAAATGAAAATTTGCAAAGTCCATAAAAGGCTTTTATTTATGATGTTAGTTAAGGCAGCTCTCTGATTCAGAAAAAGTTCAAACAAGATCCTGTTCACTCCTGTGAACAACAAGATAAGGCAGTATTTGTGGACAGAAAACAAGTGAGGCGTAGAGACAGCACCATGGGTCCCAGGCCAGCATTTACTGATTTGAATCCCCTGCCCACTGATGGATGGCCTTGAAGCTTAGTTATTCATGTACCAGTTACCACATGTGATTCCATGTTACTTTTGTGTGGTGGGTCAGTGTAGAAGACTAGCCCAAATCAGTGTTCTCCTATAAACTGTATTTAACAATTACAGGGTGAGTGGTTTCCAAGACTTTGTGAGCGTGGTCCTTACCCCCTTTGAATTCATTCTTCCTTAGTTCCACCAGCTTTCAAGGCTCTGCTTACTGTCACTGGATACGTAATCTTTAAAAAATAAAGATTATCCAGACAAAAACACTTCTCATGTAGGGGCATGTATCATTCATGCCTACATGAATGTATACAGCCCTGACTTGAAATGTTTTTTTTTTAATGTATGAAAATAATACCCTATGTTGTGAGCAACCTCTAGATGGTACTTTTTTTTTGAGACAGAGTTTCTCAGTGTAATCCTGGCTGCCCTGGAACTCACTCTGTAGACCAGGCTGGCCTGGAACTCACAGAGATCCACCTGCCTCTGCCTCCTGAGCGCTAGGGTCAAAGGCATGCATCACCACCTCCCAGCTAGATGGTACATTTTATCACACCCTTCCACTCTCCACCTCACCGTGGTCACTTAATCCTTCCTGTAAGAGATGATATATGATTTACCATCTCTTGAAACAAATGAGAAAAAGGAGAGTTCATAAAGATTTTAGTTACCAGTTGCAACTAGTCATGACTGGCTAAGGCTAGAGGTTATCTTCCTGACTCCCAAGTCAAGGAATTTGAAAATAATAGAGGAAATAGAATTTGCTTCATTTCATCAAGAACTCAGTGATGCCTATATTTGTTTGAAGGATCAGTGTTGCTTATCTTAAAACTCAGCTTGATCCTTTAAAGCCTAGTCTAGTTCCATCAGAAATACAGGTCTACACGTGAATATGAAGGCAGGAAG